AGTATTAAACAGAAATTTATAACTTTCTTCAACAATTACAATTAATCATCTCAATAATATGTGGTTGATAAAAATTTTTTGTTCATTTCATTTGTAACCTAAAGTTTATAAGTAAAATAAGTAAAATAAATTAATTCAATTATAAGTAATAATAAGTCAATTATAATCAATTATAAGTAAAATAAATTAATTAGAAGTGAAATGAAAAATGTTAAAGGGAAAAGAAAAATCACGATCAGTTTAAAATTTGAAAAATTGTAAATCTTCTGGAAAATTCGAAAAATAATAAATTTTCCGGAAAATCATTTCTAGTTTAATTGCGATGATTTTTTCTATTTTAATCATATATTAATTAATAAAATTTAACAATCTGAATTACTATTTTAAGAAATATGATATTACTGCAAAATTAGCATTTATTTTATACGATACGTAAAGTAAATTATCGTATAATATAAATGAATTTTTTTTTTTAAATATGAACGAATAAACAGAAAGGAGAAAAAATAATGATCAGTAATTGAATATTTGAAAGTTTAAAATTTAGAAATTTGAATATTCGAAAAGTTTGACCTTTGCCCCATTTAGCATTTATTCAGTCATGAAAAAAAGAACAGATGAAACCGTAATTAAAAATAATAATAGCATTAAAATTTTCCTCTCTTTCTCTTTGATACAATAGCTAGTTATATTGTGAATAAAAATTTATTGAAATTTATAAAAATTTTACTTTTTTTGATTTGAAAAATTTGAAATTTATTATTTTTTTCTTTTTTTTGTTATTGAAATTTTCTCTATTTCTTTAAAATGTCTCTTCTTCAGCCTTTTTTTTCTCCCTCTTTTATCTTTTAATTTTTCCCTTATTTATCAGTTCTTTATGCAAAAGTAATGAAATTCATTAACGTGTCAAATCAGTACAAACAAAAATGATGTCACGAAAAAAGGGAAGAATTGAGTCAAGTATAATTTCAATTAAAAAAGATTTCCGGAAATTTTGAAAACATCATTCCGGTATATTCGAATTTCATCAAACATAAAATTTTAATTTTACTTAAATTAATTTACTTAAATCTTATCATTTTTTTTTTGTCACGCAAATTAAAACCAAAAATAAAGAACTGAATTATAATTATAGTTATTTGAGCATTGAGAAATGCGCAAAAACATTTGAAATGAATTTAAAAGCATAGCTTAAAATGATAAGGACAAACGTACGTAGCAATGATAAACGTACGTATGTCATTTCGAATTATCATTGCAATAGCTATAATGCTTCCATAATAAATATTTTCTTGTTTAAGCTTAGCTAATTTATATTTAACCGACCTTTTATCTCATTACCATATAAGTTGACCACTTCGATTGCTAGTTAAGTGACCATTCATCGATCTCATTGGCATCACTTATTAATTAAACAAAAATTAGTCTAAACAAATTTAATGCTTACATTGAGAAATATTTTGACCACTTTAGCAAAGTGATCATCATTAGATGGATCCATTTAATAATAATCATTTAATAATATGATGCATTTGATATTAATAATTAATAATATAATAATCATTTAATGATTTAATAACAAACAAAAAAAGACTGAAATAATTGAGATAATTTCAAAAACTTTCTAAAAATAATTTGTAAGCATTCAAAAATGGAAATTATACAAACATTTGTAATGAAAAGAAATTGAAGATTAAGCTTCCCATACATTTAACTTTATGTAACACAAAATCCGGAAAATATAAATCATCTTCCGGATTTTGTAATACACGAAAAACAAATAAAAAGGGCCTCAAAATGCCTGAAAGCAACGAATTAATTACTAGCCAGAAATCCACAAATGATTTATCCCGAATGATTAGATATAGTAGTAGCGCAATAAAGTGGGCCAATTGTTAATTACAATGATATAACTAAATTATCACTTGTAATGATAAGCTATCATTTGTTATAAGTAGAAATGAAATGAAAACATAAAAAGTAAAAAGAAAAAACTGAGAAGAAATTTAACATATTTATTGCTAATTACCACAAAAGTAATTAATTTAACACATTTATTGCTAATTGTTATAAAAATAATTGTGGCGATTAAATAAATTACACCATGCATTTCTATTTAGCATAAAAGAAATTCATTGTTTTAAAGATAGAACGAAAATTTCAAATAGAATTTGAATTCAAATATATGCAGGAAATTTTCTCATCAATTTGCATAATAATCTTTTTTCAAATGAGCAAAAAAGAAATGATTTAAAGTGATTGTTTTAATTCTATTTTTTACAATGATCAAATCATTCACTGAATACAATTACCAATAAAGAAGTAACTGATCGTTGATTTTGTGAAGTGACAAATTTGACACAAATCTATCGTCTTATCAGTTATCGCCATGACTAAGATTTAATATTATTAATTTATCATTTATCAATGGTAACCTCAAATTATCAAGATTTTAAATTATCATAAAGGAAATAGAGCTGAAAAAGATGTTTTACATCCTACAGCGAAAACTCCTTGTAGTTTTCCCTGAACTGTATGGAATGAAACCAAAACGTTGGAATCCGAGAGAGAAATAGAGAGAAGAAAAGAAGTACAGAATAGAGGAAGAAAAAGAAGGATGGAGTTATGTAGAGTGTGAGCATAATGC